TGGGAGGCTGAAGGAACTTTGAAAGTTCAGGTCCTTGGGGGAAAAGGCTTGACAGCAAGCCTGATGACCTGAGCTTTTTTCTCTGCGACCCACTCCTGCAAGTTGTCATCTGACCTCCACAGGTGTCCTGTGGCATGCACGCACACACATGATTTTGAAAAAATAATTTTGAGGCCTACCTGGACAGCTTTGTGAGACCTTTTTTCATAATAAAATCAGGTGTGCTAGCAGGCACCATTAGTCCCAGTACTTGGGCAGCAGCAACAGGTAGATCTCCGTGAGGCGGAGGCCAACCTGGTCTACATAGGGAGTAACAGGACAAGATAGATAGAGAGGCAAGGCAAGATGGAGAGACCCCATCTTAAAAACAAAATTAATCAACCAGGTGGTGGTGTATGCCTTTGACCTCAGCACTAAGGAGGCAGAGACAGGCGGATCTCTCAGTTCAAGCCCGGTCTGGTCTACAGAATGAGTTCCACGGCAACCAAGGCTACACAGAGAAACACTGTCTTGAAAAACCAGCCAATCCAAAACAAAATTAATCAAAACCAAAGAGGGCTGGGATACAACCCAGTGGTAGAGCTCTTGTCTAACAGACAGAGTTCCTACATTTTTTCTAGTATTGTCCCCTATTTTTTCCCCTAGACATTTAAAACTGAACTAAATTAACTAAAAATGTAAAATTTTTTCTGTTCTGTTTGGACTACCGTGAGGACATTTCTTAAGTTCACTGTGTGAGTTATTTATTGCTCCTTACCAAGTTAACCCAACACAGCACATAACTTAATTCACAGTTTCTGCAGAGTCTGAGGGTGATGTAGCCGGAGATTCTGGCCCAGGATTCCAAATCCCCAGGGAATCTCTTTCACACTCACACACTTAGCAGTGCCCATCACTTACTGTTTGGCCTCTGGCTAGAGGCCTTGGTGACAGCCTGGGCACTCCAGACTTGGCTTCTGGGCTTGCTTCTTCCAGAAAGATCTGGCAGAGAAAAAAGAAAAGAAACTGGAAGCCCGACCTCCCCTGGGGAATGGTGTGCTTCTTCTCACACTGGAGGAGAAATGTATCTCCATTTGATTGGTGTGGGGTTGTTTGTTTGTTTCATTTTTCTGTGTAGGCCAGGCTTGCTATGTTGCCCGCCATCACTGTCCATGCAGTTCCCTGGTAACATGTAAGACTATGTTCAGTGTGGGCCCGGCCCTCTTGCTCCCAGCTACCCTTCAAATAGATGAGCTACTGTCTTCCATAGTCTAAAACGTGGACGCATGAAAGATCTGACACTTTCTGCGTTTCTCGTTGGGTAGAAAGAGACAGAATGAGATTTCAGGAAGGAGATTGACAAAACTTCTAACTGTGCTCCAGCCGCCAATGGGCAAACAATTCTAGCCTGGTGCAGGAAGTGCTTCGCAGCCATTCTCATTGTGCCTTCCTCCCAACATACCTGACACAGCCACGGGGCTTCCACAGCTCAGAACTAGACAGCAGCCTGGAAGCTATCTGCCCAGATAAGGCCCAGTGCCCAGCCTGATGTGAACTCATCTGAATCAAGTTGCAGAACAGACGCCAGACTTCATTAGGAAAGAATAAATGGGGTACAAGTCAGAGGCCTCTATCTCCAATGGAAAAGTTTGGGGGTGGGCCCAGCCTTAAAGTCATTTTGTCCTTATCGAATGGGCCTATGGGACATTTTTGAGGTAGGACCAGCTTTAGAGTCATTTTGTCCTTATTGAAAGAGCCTCCATTACTGTCCAGTAACGAAGTATATGTTCAGACAAGTGAAACCATCTATAATGCTATAGTTGTTGGTCCTCCGAACTGTGTAATTTTGTGCCGGCTTAAATTATCTACCGAATCTGTCCTGAGCACACAAACAGAACATAGCCGTGGGAAGGACTGGAGAGGGTACTCAATGATTAGGATTACATGCAGTCCTCAGATAGGACTCCAGTTGGATCACAGGACTGAGGTCAGGGCTCACAACCTTCTGTGACTCCCAACTCCAGGGAGTCCCATCCCTTCTTCTGGCCTCTAATGACACAGCACTCACGTGCACATACAATATGTATATATGGAAGGTTAAAAACCTCAGCAATCAAATAATCTTCTCATGCAAACATATAAAAATTAAAATTAATAGAAAAATAATCCATGGTAGCACTTTAGATAAAAAACAAGATCAGAAACTGTATGCTCTATGGAGCCATTTACAGCCTGACCAAAAGTGGGGAGAGGAGGGGGAAAGGGTACTGACTTGGGCAATTTTCTCATCCTGAGTCTTTCTGTTACTACTTATTTTTTACTGATTGTACTGAAATATTGTCTTGCTTTCTGAATTTTGTGGTGCCCCCATATGTTTTGTCCCAGAGGCAAGTAAGTGCCGCACCCTAGGGGCCCTCGTCCTGCAGAGGGGGGGCCACAGGAAGCAGTGAAGGGCAAGCCACAGCGACTCACACCCACGACACGGGGGGACTGGACACTGAGACGCTCACCAGCGTGGCACCGCGAAGTCTCGCGAGAAGACACTCCACTCAGCGCTGGGTGCGCCCAATCCCAGCTCGAACGCGCGGTTCGAGCCCAGCAGGCCAATCATGGAGCCGGCCTGCGCACAGCAGGCCAATGGGAGCGCGCCTCGAGCGGTGGGCGGGCCGCGGCAACCGTTACCCGACAAGCCCCAGGGCGCAGAGGAGGCGGTGAGGGCGGCTTGGTGGCGAGGTGCGACGACGCGACGCGACGCTCATGGTGAGCCCCACGCCTGCCCCACCCCAGCCCCGGGCAGCTGGCGCTGGGAGCCTGGTCCCACCCGCGCTGTCGTGCAGCGAGGCCAGGGCTCATTGCATTGGTGATCCCACCGCGCAGTAGTAGTCTGCTCTTGTGCTCATTCTTGCAGCGGTTTCGTTGTTCTTAAGACAAGCGCCAAGGTAGCCCAGGCTGGCCTGGAAGTCACACCTATTGGTGCAGTGCTGGGGCCGGAGCTCCTGTTTGCTAGGCAAGGCCTCTGCCACAGAGCCTGACAAGAACCGTGCTGGAGACCAGAGACACAAGTAGACGCTAGTTTCCCAAACGGATGGTGTTGTCACTGAGATCAGATGTTATGGCAACCAACAAAGGTTGGTCTGTGGCGCCTGCGCACGCATGGTGTGCACAGAGCGTGCAGGCGCTCACATACACATAAGTATCGGAAGCAAAAGATAAAGATGTTCTGCTTAAAAAGAATGTTGGCAAGTCTTCCCTTTTCCTCACTTGATTGGGTTTATTTCTGTATTGATGGATTGTGAGAATCCATCAGCACCACCTGCACCTGCCATTTTCTTTGAAGGGAAGTTTTTAAATACAGATTTAATTTGCTTAGGAGGTAAGAGACTATGGAGGCGTTGTTGTACCCCCGTGTATTAGTTTTGGAAGGGAGATTGTAGTTTTCAAGGACGTGTGTCCATCCGACTTGTAGAATTTGTTAGATTAAGTTATGATATCCTCTATTAGCTCTTTAATATTGCTGATAGTTTAGTGGCTTATGTTCTCTTAGATTAAGTCTTGTATCAATTTCATTTGTTTTTAGGAAATAATTTTTGGCTTTTTGTCTATTCATCTAATTTTGACTTGTTTACTTTTTATAATTTCTATACTATCTTCTTTGGACTTAATTTATTGCTGCTTTTTCTAGATTTTAAAATATTTTTATTTGCCCTGTGTATGTTTACATTCTACATGTGTGTGGTTTCCTGCAGGGAACAGAAGAGGCCAGGACTTACAGGTGGTTCTGTGTCACCCACTGTGGGTGCTGAGACTCAAACTTGTGTTCTCAGAAAGCAGTAAGTGCTCCTAACCATCTTTCCAGTACATGCTTTTTCTAGTTTCTTTAGAACCTCCAGGCATTTATTGTAAGTCGTTTGTAATACAAGTATTTAATACTCTCCTTCTGTTGATGAGGTGCTGGTTCTTGAACTCAGGTTTTGTGCATGAGACATTAAGCAAGCACTGACTTACATCAGCCGATCCCTAAAGCTGTAAATTTTTCTAAGCACTATTTTAGCTGCATACTGTACATTAAATTTCAAAATATTTTCCAGGTTCCATTGTGATTTATTTCACCCAGGGACTTTTATGACTGTGTTGTTTCATTTCCAAATTTAAGGAAGTAACATCTTGTATTGCATTGGTTTTTGTTATTTGTTTTGTCTTTTGGGGACAGGGTCTCATAATGTTGCTCTGACTGACCTGGAATTCACTCTGTAGTTCAGGCTGGCCTCAAACATGGACATCTGCTGATACTAAAGGCAGTCACCACCGCTTCGAAGAACATGACCATATTAAATAGAAATTTTAGGGATATATATATCCCCAGTTTGTCAAATATATATTATACATATATTATATATGTATAATATATATTTGAACCAAGGGCCTAATGCAGTCTAGGCAAGTGCCATACTATTGAGCTATATTTTGAAATAGGATCTCAGTTGTCCTGTCTCCTCCTCCCAAGTAGTTTCAACAACACATTCAGGTGCACATGGATTGCTAGATTCCCAACACACTACTGCTAGAGGATTCCTGTGACTTTATGAGTCCCAAGTCCATTGTACAGTGAGTAAAAAGAGCAGTGTAGGTATGATCTGTTCTGACAGGGTAGCTACTGACATCATCAACATAGAGAAAGTCAGCTCCCAGGTCACCTGCGCAGTGACTGTTTGAAGGCCTGCACATCACGCCCCAGTATCCACCTGTCACCCACTAGGCAATATGATGGCATATGCCTATAATTTCAGGACTTGAGAGTTAGGAGACAGTGGGTCAGTGGTTCAAGATCATCCTTGACTACACAGTGAACTTGAGGCCAGTTCGGGAGACATTAGACCCTGCCCAGTAACCCCTCCCCCCAAGTTACTGAGGGGTTTTTAATGTTTACTAGGCTCTGTGATAGTAGATCTCTAAGTTTATTAGAAACCAAGTGTATTAATAGTTCACTATCTCACCTTTTCTAGAATATACATCTTTGAACTATGCAGGCCACTGCAGTAGTAGAAACAGACTCTGATAAAAGCTACCACAAAGATGGAAGAAATCTCCAGAAAGGTAAGGATGCAGACCTGTCTGAGAAGGGTGCTAATTGTAAACAGAGATTTCCTTTCAGGGTTGCTGTTTTAAAGCTGGGACAGTTCAGCATGTTGAACTTTGCCAATTCCCTCATGAATTTCTGGTAGCTGTGGGCAAATTATTTTTATTTTACAGTAGGAAAGACAAAAGACACATCTTGCAAGTCCACGGAAGACAAATCTGTTTAACTAATCTGCTAACATTATAATATGACAAGACAACATAAAAAGTTAAAGTGTGCAACACATTAACTCATATCAGTGTCTCGTGTGAAGATAACTGCTGTGTAATCTCTGTGTTTATTACAGTTTGTTGTGTAGAGGAATTTTAATCCAACAACATGGCTAACTCTAGATGTAATCCACACCCTTAATTCCTCTGGCTGGAATTTAGACACAACACAGCTTTAATCCTTCTGGTTGGAGTATGGTACACACCTTTAATGTCAAACAATGATGTCTATTCGAGACAAGTGATAAATCAGAGAAATATTTGACAGAATGATTCAGAGAGATAGGATACACCAACTCTCATGAGGACTGACAGGAAAGAGAAGCTATTTAAGAAAGTGCATGGGGGGGCCAAGTTCACGGAGACAGTAAAGTTTGGGAGTACAGTACTTTTCCATACTGTTCAGTTCAGTTCATGGAGTTCAGAGGCAGTTTTTCCAAGCAGAGCAATTGAATGAGAAGTTGAGAGAATCCAGTTTGTATCAGTCAGCTTGAAGAGGAGTTTTTAGTCAGAACAGCAGTGTTGAACCAGCCAGCCAGAGTTCAGAAAGAACTAGAAAGAATGGGTTTATTCAGCAGTAAGTCTCAGGCTGAAAACACTCTAGCAAATGGAGGCTGGAAGCTGAATCCTTCAAGCTCTGGGCTTGCAGAAGAGTAGATTGTACAGAGGCTACAGCTTCCAGGCCTAGGCCTAGGGTTAGTTGGAGAGAAATGCTCTGGGCTCAGCCCAAGCCATGTATTCATAAAGCTTGGGTAAGGCTCTCATCTCAACCCCTCATCTGAGGAAATAAAAACAACATTTGCATTGCTGAGCATTTAAAGCTGGGTCTTCTCTCAGTAGCTTCAGATCCGTTTGCCTGGCCTCCTCGCTTGTCTTACTTTTTCCCTTCCCTCCTATAAACCTGCTCTTCATGACAGTTTACCTCTTTAGTGCTAAACATTACTGTTCAGATGTAGTGCCCGGTGAATCTTAGAGTGGTACTTAAGCAGGTAGGGACCCATCAGTGGATCATGAAATAAAGCGAGCTAATTGTGCTCTTTAGTAAAATAGAAGATTCCAGAACACATTGGAACAAGCGTGATTACTGTTCTAAATAGTGTTGTCTCACTTCTGTGCACACTTATTCAGTGTCGGTTATTGAGTGCCCTCTCTAATCTTAACTTCTGCACTCTGGGTCTACTGCCTTCACTTTCCAAACTCTCAGAAGAGCTCTCCACAGCTCAGTCCTTCACATGACCACTCTCAAGAGGCTTGCGGTGCTTTCCCTTCTCCTAGGATGAGAGCCCGATGTCTTAGCAACTTATAAAAGGCTTCACGAGTGCCCAGTACTCCACTCAGACAGCTCCTCTACTCCTTGCAGGCTGGATTAGTTTCCTGCAACGGCTACGCTCATTCGCCACAGGCAGCTGCACTTGCTGTTTGATTTGTCTAAGGCAAATTTGCCTGTTTTGTTTGAAGATACTTGTCAGATACAAAGTTTTCCTCAAACTCTGCCCCTAGCATGATGCCCCCTGCTTGTCTTTTAACAGGGGTTTTAGGTGGTTTTAGGTGCTATCCATGCCGCTCAGGAAAGCCGTGAGTTGCCTTGTCTTTTAACAGGGGTTGGTTCT